AGGCTTTTTTTTTAACTTTTAAAAGCATTTTTTTGGCCAAAGAAGTATTAGAAAAAATGCTTTTAAAATTTTTAAAAAACAGCCTCTGATGATTGTGCGGCTCAGCTGGACATGGGGGGGGGGAGCAGGGATTTTTGCTACCGGTTCTCCGAACCACCCGCCTCCATCGCTACCAGATTGGGCAATCCGGTCCCAACCAGGAGCATTTCACCCCTGCTTTATTCTGATTGACATTGAGGGAGGTGGCACCTTTTAAGCGCCCACTTTCATGTCAAGACTCTGGGAAGGCAATTGCCCCCTGAAACTGAATCGTTAGTCAGTAATTCATGAGTACAGTTAATTTTGAGAAATAGTAATAATAATAATAACAACAACAACAATATTCATAACATTGATAATAATCACATCATAATAATATTTGCTTATCCATTTCAATAAACCTTCCTGATATAATTAACCATTCTCTTAAGCTTTTAAAATTCTTTAACTTCTGTTTCTGTTGGTTAGCCATTGGACAAAAATACATAGATGGTTAGGAAAAAATGGTAAAGCAAGATATATAGACCTAAAACCAGAAATATTTTTTGTTGGGTATCTTACCGGAAAAGTACAAAAAAGGGAATACCTATTTAATTTTACATGGGTTAACAGGGGCGAGAATTGTGTTTGCACAACAGTGGAAAAATGAAGGGATCCCTACAGAAGAAAGCGTAATACTAAAATGTGCAGAAATAGATTAACACTTGAAATTAAGGAGAAGGAAGAAACAGACTATTTTTTAACACGGGATTCATTTTAGCTAGTCAGTAATTCATGTAGGCTTTGGTTTGAAAACATTTTCTACCTCTGCGTACCACACCCTCAACTAACCAAGGGGGAAGGATTAAACCAGGGGTGAAATCCAGCAGGTTCTGACAGGTTCTGGAGAACCGGTAGCGGAAAATTTAAGCAGTTCGGAGAACCGGCAAATACCACCTCTGGCTGGTCCCAGAGTGGGGCGGGAATGGGGATTTTGCAATATCCTTCCCCCAGGAATGGGGAGGGAATGGGGATTTTGCAGTATCCTTCCCCTGCCACGCCCACCCAGCCACACCCACCAAGCCACACCACCAGAGGTGGGTTTCAGCAGGTTCTGACCAGTTCTGGAGAACCGGTAGCGGAAATTTTCAGTAGTTCGGAGAACCGGCAAATACCACCTCTGGCTGACGCCACCCCCATCTATTCTCTGCCTACCGAGTCCCAGCAGATTGGGAGGAAATGGGGATTTTGCAGTAACCTTCCCCTGGAGTGGGGAGGGAATAGAGATTTTACAGTATCCTTCCCCTGCCATGCCCACCAAGCCACGCCCACCAAGCCACACCATGCCCACCAAGCCACGCCCACAGAACCGGTAGTAAAAAAAAAATTGGATTTCACCACTGGATTAAATCAACGCACAATATGATTCTCAAAACTAATCTAAAACCGGAAGGAGCTTGCCAGCACATTTTCCAACGAACAAATTTTACGAAAAGCCATATATGCTTTTCCCGCTGCTTTCGGCTACCACAAACTAACACCGCTTGCCTGTTGCAAAACCTCCACCCAGAGGAACAGGTCACGCGGATGCAACCACTGTGCATTTCCTTAGCTGGAATATAAACAATAAATGATTCTCATAAATTGAACAAACAAACAAACAAACACATATCTGTAGTGTGGCTCAGGTTTGTGGGAAGTTTGGCCGTCTGTTTGGCCGCCATCAGGACTCGGTTTGCTGAAAACAACTCCGGAGTTGCGTGACGCATTCTGCCACCGTGAACTATTTTGTGGTGTGTTCATTGTCCTCTCGGAACTCGTGGGAGGATCTTTTGGCTCTTTCAAAGCAGGAGCCAAATTGTATGCATTTTTTTAGGGGAAGGGGGTCAAGGCAAGAATTGGGGAGGGGGTCATGAGAAATAGCATGGGAATTTCTTGGCATTATCTGCCCCCTTCCCCTTTTGAGATAGTGGCTACGTCTCTGCTCTGGATAATCATCCTTTATTTCTGGTCTTAGCAAAGGGAGGAGTTGGTATTTGCCATCGATGTATTGTTTATGCATTAAGGACCCCCGTCTTTGTTAATTTATGTTACTCAGCAAACCTATGCCTTTCTCCTCTTTTACCCACAATAATAATCTTGTGAAGAGGGTTTGGCTAAGAGAGAGGGACTGGCCCAAGTCATCCAGCCAGCTTTCATGGCTAAATCTGAACTAGAACTCACCGTCTCCTGGTGAGTGGCCCAAAGTCACTCAACTGGCTTTCATGCTCAAGGTGGAACTAGAACTCACCATCTCCTAGTAATTGATCCAAAGTCACTCAGCCGGCTTTCAGACCTAAGGCAGGACTAGAACTCACCATCTCCTGGTGATTGATCCAAAATCACCCAGCCACCTTTCTTGCCTAAATCTGAAGTAGAACTCACCGTCTCCTGGTGAGTGGCCCAAAGTCACCCAACTGGCTTTCATGCTCAAGGTGGAACTAGAACTCACCATCTCCTTGTTTCTAGCCTGGTGCCTTAACCACTAGACCGAACTGGCTCTATTGGCTCTATCACCCCTCAAACCCCACTCCATCTCCCACTCCTCATGACAATCTGTGAGCTTTGCCCAATGGAGGTAACGTGATCTACCCTGTTCCTTGCACACCTACATCCTTGCACCCCAAACATCTCAGCCTTTGAAAAAGAATCCCCTTCTCCCTTTCTCCATGTCAGTGGCCTCCAAGTGAGTGGCGCTACAAAGCTCATACTACTGAGCTGAGCACCACAATTGAGCTCACACTACTGAGCTGAGCACCACAATTGTGCTCATACTACTGAGCTGAGCACCACAATTGAGCTCATACTACTGAGCTGAGCACCACAATTGAGCTCACACTACTGAGCTGAGCACCACAATTGGTATAAAATGGTCTCGTCTATATATGGCCCTGACTTTGGTCTCTTAGAACAGGGGTCTCCAACCTTGGCAACTTTACGACTTGTGGACTTCAACTCCCAGAATTCCTCAGTGCAGCGCATGCATTGGCTGAGGAATTCTGGGAGTTGAAGTCCACAAGTCGTAAAGCTGCCAAGGTTGGAGACCCCTGTCTTAGAAAACATGACGGGGAGTCTCACTTACTCCGTAAGCATTAAAAAGACAACAGGAATCACCACCATTCTCAGCTGGATTAGTATGGGAAATACACTACTCTATGCAGTACTATTATTATTCCACTCACAGGAAGTTGTGGATGTTTATATTTACACCAGAAGCCCTGAAAAGATTCTTTGCCTGTGCTGAAGGCTACTCCACCCATTGCAATTTTATATTGTTGAGTTATTTAAAGGCAGAAATCCTAGAAGCTTCTACTCCAGGAACCAAGGTGGAAAATACGGTGCTCAACCACCACTTTCTGGGGGACGACATGAGTCCCCACCCAGGGGTGAAATCCAGCAGGTTCTGACAGGTTCTGGAGAACCGGTAGCAGAAATTTTGAGTAGTTTGGAGAACCGGCAAATACCACCTCTGGCTGGCCCCAGAGTGGGGAGGGAATGGAGATTTTGCAATATCCTTCCCCCAGTTGTGGGGAGGGAATGGGGATTTTGCAATATCCTTCTCTCAGGAGTGGGGAGGGAATGGAGATTTTGCAGTATCCTTCTCCCAGGAGTGGGGAGGGAATGGGGATTTTGCAATATCCTTCTCTCAGGAGTGGGGAGGGAATGGGGATTTTGCAATATCCTTCTCTCAGGAGTGGGGAGGGAATGGAGATTTTGCAATATCCTTCCCCTGGAATGGGGTGGAAGGAAGGGAAGGGAAGGGAGGGAAGGGAAGAGAAGGGAAGGGAAGAGGAAAGGAGCAAGGAAAAAGCAAGGAAGGGAAGGGAAGAGGAAAAGAGCAAGGAAGGGAAGGGAAGGGAAGGGGAAAGGAGCAAGGAAAGGAGCAAGGAAGGGAAGGGACCAAGGAAGAAGAAAGGAGCAAGGAAAAAAGCAAGGAAGGGGAGGGGAGGGAGGGAAGGAAAGGGAGATGGGAAGGGAGAAGAGGGAAGAGGGAAGGGAAGAGAAGGGAGGGAGAAGGGAGGGAAGGGAGAAGGAAAGGGAGAAGAGAAAAGGGAAGGGTATGATAAGATCAAGTGTGCTAACATGATGTAATAAAACAAATGCTAGAAGGGTGTACATTATTAGAACTAAAATTCTTAGATAAAATGTCTCTCTAAATTTTCAAAAAGGAAGCAAATATTCAGCTTAGAATGACGTACAATATAAACAGAATTATCCTGCAAGATTTTTTTTAAAAAAATCTGGGGTATTAACCATAAAGAACTGAAAAGAATTATTACATAAAATATAATAAAAAGACGAAGTTAAGTTTGAAACTAATCGTTTATCCACATTAATGGTTATTGTATAAAACTGGGTTTTATGGGATAGGAGGACTTCTTCTAGGCTGATGGAAGAAAGTCCATATCAAGTCCCTACGGGCAGTGGGGAAGTGTTGGAACAGAGCTTGGGTGAGACTCAGATTCGAATCTTGCTCCGGCCCACAGACATTTCCCTGAGGACTTTAGTCCCCGTCCCTCTCCCTTAGACCAGCCTACCTAGCAAGGAGATCGTTGCAGGAGAAAAAAAAAACACCTCGTGGTCTCCCACCCACCATCCTTTCTCCTGGGCGCACTAAAGACAGGAACCAAGCGCACCAAAGCTGCAGGTGTTTTCCTCGCATCTGGGTTAACAGTTGGTACGATGAAGCCCAGACCATCGAGGTTTCGCAAGCCAGGATTCAGGGTTAAGCCCTGCCTTGGAAGGAAACCTGTGCCACCCTTCAGCTCAACCTGGGAAGGAGCCGCCCCGTGCAAACGAACCGTTGCCTGGGCGCAAAGAAGAGCAGCCCGCTTCCTTCCACCCTAGGTCCGCTGGACAGCGGCAGAAAGGCGGCCCGCCTGTTTTTCCGGACTTGGGGGAGGAGAGGGCCCTCTGCACGAGCTCAGAGGCACGCTACTCACGATTTCCACGACCATCAGGATGCCGAAGGGGGACTTGACGAAGTCCAGATCCAAGGCGGGCGCGTGGAAAGCCGGCTCCCCGGCTGGGGTGCTGGTGCGGGTGCTGACTTTGGCCGGGAATTCAGTCATCCCGCCGGCTGGGCGCCCCCCGGCCCGGAGGAGACGCGTTGCGCCCCGGTGGAAGCTGCAAAAGGGCGAGAGGGCCGACAGGGCTCCGGAGCGCAGAAGAGCGACGCGGCTCCGGAGCGCAGCCGGTCGAGCTGGAGCAGTTGGTGCCACCCGGGGGAGGCGCTGGGGCTGCGGCTTAGGGTGGGGTGGTTGCCCGGGGCGCGGCCGGAGGGGCGCTCCGGTTGCTGGTTGGCAGCGCCGGGAGGCGGAGGAGGGACGAGCCGGGGCAGCCCTGCCCTGCAACCTGCTGGGCCGACCTTAGGCGGAGGACCCGCGGTGGGAGCCCCAGAAGTGAGGGCCCTTCTACACGTGTTTGCCCTCTCCTTCCCTGGCCGCGTTCACACGACCACCGTTACATCCACCGCTTCCAGGAAGGGCGCCGACTGACTGCGCGCCCGGGGCTCAACATCCTCTAGAGCAGTGGTTCTCAACCTTCCTAATGCCACGACCCTTTAATACAGTTCCTCATGGTTGGGGGTCACCATGTTTTGGTGACCCCCAACCATAAAATTATTCCTAAGACCATTGAAAATATGTGTTTTCCGATGGTCTTAGGTGACCCCTGTGAAAGGGTCATTCGACCCCCAAAAGGGTCGTGACCCACAGGTTGAGAACCACTGCTCTAGAGCAAGAGGTCTCCAACCTTGGCCACTTTAAGCCTGGCGGACTTCAAGCTTTGCTGGCTGGGGAATTGGGGGAGTTGAAGTCCGCCAGGCTTTTTTCCCCCTTTTTTCTTTTTTAAATTTGATTTATATGCCGCCCTTCTCCGGAGACTCAGGGCGGCTTACAATGCATTAAGCAATAGCCTTCATTCTTTTGTATATTTATACAAAGTCAGCTTATTGCCCCCACAAACTGGGTCCTCAATTTACCTACCTTAGAAAGGATGGAAGGCTGAGTCAACCTTGCGCCTGGTGAGATTCGAACTTACAATAATTGCAGACAGCTGGTGTTAATCACAATGCTTTTAGTCTGCTGAGCCACCAAGCTCTGGCCTCACGAGCAAGGGGGAGGGAAGCCGGTGGGGTCCCCGGCCTGCCCTATCTCGGCCCCAGTTCGGGCTAAGAAAAGAGGGCTGCCTCTGAGCGGGGGAAGGACTACAGGGAGTCCTCGAGTTTGTTTGTTTGTTTGTTTGTTTGTTTATTTATTTATTTATTTATTTATTTATTTATTTATTTATTTATTTATTTATTATTTATTGGTTCGATTTATATGCTGCCCTTCTCCGGAGACTCAGGGCGGCTTACAGTGCGTTAAGCAATAGCCTTCATCCTTTTGTATATTTATACAAAGTCAGTTTATTGCCCCCACAAACTGGGTCCTCAATTTACCTACCTCAGAAAGGATGGAAGGCTGAGTCAACCTTGAGCCTGGCGAGATTCGAACTTACTTTAATTGCAGACAGCTGGTGTTAATCACAATGCTTTTAGTCTGCAGAGCTATCCAGGCTTAAAGTTACCAAGGTTGGAGACCCCCTGCTCTAAAAAGAGGTGCAAAAGAAAAGATACCAAGATGATTAGGGGGCTGCAGGCTAAAACAAGAGCCTTGTTTGCACAGCAGACTAAAGTGCTGTTAAATAACAGCAGCTGCCTGCAAATTTCGTTTTCTGGTCCAATTATTTCATTGTATTTTAATGGTTTTTTTAACATTTGTATTATATATATTTTATTTGGCTGTTCACCGCCCCGAGTCCTTCGGGAGTAGGGCGGTGTACAAATTCAATAATTATTATTATTATTATTATTATTATTATTATTATTATTATTATTATTAATAATAATAATAATAATAATAATAATTACTGCAAGTTCAAATCTCACCAGGCTCAAGGTTGACTCAGCCTTCCATCCTTCCGAGGTAGGTAAAATGAGGACCCGGTTTGTGGGGGCAATAAGCTGACTTTGTATAAAAAAGAACACCGCTTGGGGGTGGGCGAAAGCCCTACTAAGCAGGTATATACAAAAGTAGGAAGGCTATTGCTTAACGCATTGTAAGCCGCCCTGAGTCTCCGGAGAAGGGTGGCATATAAATCAAACCAATAAATAAATAAACATATAAAGAACAGATGCTGGAATTGGGGGATGTCTGGTTTAATGGAAAGAAGGACGAGGGGTGACAGGATAGTGGCATTCCAGTATTTGAGGGGCTGCCACAAAGAAGAGAGGGGGTCAAATTATTCTCCAAAACACCAGAAGGCAGGAGAAGAAACAATGGACGGAAACGAATCAAGGAGAGAAGCAATTTGCTGTTAAGGAGAAACTTCCTAAAAGTGAGAACCATTAACCACTGAAAGTTGACTCCAGACGTTGTGAATGCTCCAACACTGGAAGTTTTAAAGAAGAGATTGGAAACTCTTGGTCTGAAGTGGTGTAGGGTTTCCTGCCTAAGCTGGGGGTTGGACTAGAAGACCTCCAAGGTCCCTTCCAAGTCTGTTATTTGTGCTTTTACTGGTTCTCTCAACCCACCAAAGCAATAACTAGCCCCAAGATATGTGGCAGACAACTGCTCCCCCAACCCCAAAGGATGGAGGCACAAATGCAGCACGTCCCAGGAAAGTCACAGCCAGCTTAATTGCTAAAAAGGGGCCCTTGGGTTGAATTTTGGCATCTCCTCCTGCATGATTCCAACCGTTGGGTCTTTTAAACGATGATTCATATCTTCCTGTAATAGGTGAACTCCCCCGACTGGAGCTTAATCCGCAGATGTGGAGTTACCTTGGTTACAATCTGTTGCACCAGTACAGTAACCCAAGGGAGTCACTCAGCAGGTTAAGCAAAAGAAGGAGGAGGAGGAGGAGGAGAAGGAGGAGGAGGAGGAGGAGGAGGAGGAGGAGGAGGAGGAGGAGGAGGGAGAAGAAGAGAAGAAGAAGAAGAAGAAGAAGAAGAAGAAGAAGAAGAAGAAGAGGAGGAGGAGGAGGAGGAGGAGGAGGAGGAGGAGGAGGAGGAGGAGGAAGAAGAACTGTGATTAAAATGAGTATCTCTTTAAGTGGTTGGGTTCAGTAAATTGGTAAGAGGTTGAAACCCAGAATATAAAATTAGCCAGCACTTATGGACCAAATTTGAAAGGTGAAGTTCCTTTCTGAGTTTGGTGGTTTTCTTGCAGAGGTTTCATTACCCAATTAGGTAACATCATCGGCACCAGCCCCTAGTTGGATAATGAGAATTCTGCAAGCAAACCACCAAGCTCAGAAAGCACCAAGGCCCCCACTTTCCTCCTCCTCCTCCCTGGAAACCCCACTTCCTTTCAGCACTGATTATGTTACATAATTGGGTAATGAGATGTCTGCAAGCTCAGAGAGCACCGAGGACCCCACATTCCTTCTCCTCCTCTCTGCAAACCCCACTTGCTTCTAGCCCTGATGATTTGATTTAATTTAATTTAATTAATTCGATTTATATGCCGCCCCTCTCCGAAGACTCCGGCCGGCTCACAATACATTTTAAAACATCATTATAAAAAACATTTAAAAATTAAAAACATTAAAAACTCATTCACACCATTTATGGCCGGATCTCGCCAGATCACAAGAGCGAGATCATTCATATATATATTCATTCATTCATTCATTCATTCATTCATTCATTCATTCATTTATTTATTTATTTATTTATTTATTTATTTATTTATTTATTTATTTATTTATTTATTAAATTTTTATACCACCCTTCTCCCGAAGAACTCAGGGCGGTCCACAGCCAAAAAATAAAACCAACAAATATATAAAAGTTAAAAAACAGTTTAAAAATATATTAAATAATCTGGCTGCCATGTGTTAAAAACAGAAACAACCTGTTAAAATTTAGTATTTAGGCCAGCCCAGCTTGATGAAATAATAGCATCTTGAGGGCCCGGCGAAAGGTGCGTAGGTCAGGGATCATATGTAGATCAGAGACCAACGCTCTTCAATGATGTTACCTAGTTGGGTAATGAGATTTCTGCAAGCTCAGAGAGCACCAAGGACCCACATTCCTTCTCCTCCTCTCTGCAAACCTCACTCTCTTCTAGCACTGATGATGTTACCTAGTTGGGTAATAAAACATCTGCAAGGGAACCACCAGGCTCAGAGAGTACCAAGGACTCTACAGTTCAATCCTGAGCTATAGAAATGATGAGATCCAGACTTCCCCAGGCAAGGGGATCCCCTTGGAGAAAGCGCATTCAGACAATCAAAAAAGGCGATTCGGAGGTAAACCCCAAGAAGGATTTCAATCCCTCCCAGTTGGAGGGGGGGGAGTCTCTAGAGAATTAAAAGGGACTCTGATCCACTTTCTTTCCATGCAGCTAAGATTCGAGGGAGCTCCAGGCTGGGTGAAGGGGTTGGTCTCCAGGGCCAGGTTGGGTTTAGTTGGGACTCACTGGTGTCAAACCATGCCCAAAGGATTGCACTGCATTTTCGCTTATTCTGTGGTCCCCAAGGAAGGGAAGGGATCTATCTATCTATCTATCTATCTATCTATCTATCTATCTATCTATCTTCTATCCATCCATCCATCCATCCATCCCTATCTCTATCATCTGTCTGTCTGTCTGTCTGTCTATCACTTATCTATCTCTGTCTATCTTTCTTCTCTCTATTTTTCTGACTGTGTATATATATATATATATGTGTGTGTGTGTACTTATACCTAAAACTATCTATTCTGCTCTATCATCAATCTTTAATTTATCTATCTATCTATCTATCTATCTATCTATCTATCTATCTATCGTCTATCCATCCATCCATCCATCCTTATCTCTATCA